AGATAGGGATCCCATAGCCCCAGATGGCATAGAACTAGCTATATAGACCAGGCTGGACTGGATCTCACAGAGGTCTATCTGCCTCTGACTCCTGAGTGCTGGGTTAAAGGCATGTGCCACCACACACGGCTTCTAATTAAATATTTTGAAACATTGCTTAGTCAACTACTACATATATGGCAAGTTAAATTACAACTAAAAATTCAAAGTCCTATCACTTCTATCAATGGCTTCTCATGATCTCCTTATTTTTTAAAAAAAAATCTGTATTTTCCTCACCTGTGCCTCCACAGTTCTCTGGTTTAGCATTCATTATACTTCACACCTATGGGTTATTGCACTTTTTTATCTTTTTCACTTAATTTGGTACACTGATCAGTTTCATTTTCGATTCTTCAAAAGCACAAAATATAATGTTTGTACCCCAAAAATGAATGATATAAAATTGAACTTATAAAATTGAATCTAAACTTTTCTCCTCTGGTCATGCCACCTTGGAAAACCATGAAAAGGTCTTGGCCATGAACACAGAATGGCCTACTGATACAAGTCATCATGAAAATCCTGGGCTATAAAGTGGTCTGTGGCCAGGCACCGTAGTGCACACTTAGAATGATAACAGATGGAAAACACATAATTCAACCTCTTTACAATTCCTAGTAACCCTGGAGTTAAGTATCAGTTTCACCTGGAATGTGTAGAGTATTTGTGAAATTGCTTCATTTATTTCTTTTGGGTATTTACACCCCATTTTACAACTCATGCCCTCTTCTAATCCACAGGTAAAGACTATTTTCCCACATGCAGAAGTTAGTTGGCCTTTGTTACTTGCTTTGGACAGTCACACATGGCAGAAGTATTGGTGGTTTAGTTCTAAGCATAGGTGGAGGCCTTAACTGACCTAACGGATCTTACTAGATACACAAAAATCTCACTCACCACCCCACACAACTGACCCAATATACACGAGAAAACCCAGCTAAACTGCTCCTGCTGTTGGCCATCCACCAGAACTACATGGTAAGACCCTATTGTGGAAGACACCACATGCTATGGTTGCAGAAAATAAAGAAATGAAACTGGAACCTAGCTGGAAGCTTTCTTCCTGTTGGCTAGCTTTTATAATGATAGAAGGTGCTCTGCAGATGGCTAGCAGAACACTGTCATCAACGGTTTTACTAAGATACGGACCCTGAGTGCTACACTACTGACCAGCCATGCACACTATGTCCACTGGTACAATAGCTATACGACTCTTATGGGGGGTAACCAACTACTTTCTGACTGGATTTGAGCCCTGTTCATAGGTAGGAATTCATACCTGGTACTGTAAATCAGGTATGAATGGGCCCAAGTGGGGAAACTACTGCTGTCGCTTTGTTAAACAGACATGGTGTATGTCAGCTTCCTTCTATGCTTATGTCTACACCCGCAGATCAGTGCTGTTGTCAGCTTTGGTCAGAGAAGCTTCCTTTTGCAGTGGGCGGTGGTAGCTGCAGAGACTCATAACTAGTCAAAGCGACTGCTGATTGCTCAGCCCTAAACGAGATGTTTAGAACACTCCCTCGAAGACTGTAGGAATATTTCCAAAGAGGGGCCAGAAAGAATGTGAGAAATCTAGGAGGATGTGGAGGGTTGTGGAACACGCTTGGGCACGACATTGCCATTGCACTCTTGAACTCACAGCAGCTGAAATTACCCACACATGACCTGCACAAGGCTCAACGCTTCAACATTCCATCATGGAAAGAAGGGCTCACAAGGCCCCCGTCCTTCTGGATGACTTAAAGCAGTTAACTGTTGCTAAGGAGGAGGGCTCGTGAGGTCCCATCCCTCTCTGAGGATCCATAGGCAGATAATGTTTACTTGAAGGAGAGACATGTTCTTCATTTGGAGTAGCCACTGGTAAGTTGCTCGTGTTTCTGTAACTCATTGGAGGAGAGGGAGGGGGAGAGGGAGGAGTGGAACTCCTTGTGAAGAGGAAAGAGGTCAGTGACAGTGAGAGGGACAAGAGAAGGTACTGGGTGTGAATATGTTCAAAATACATTATACATATGCATGAAAATGTCCTAATGATATTCATTATTATGTGCAATTAATATATCCTAATAAAAAAGAGAGAAAATCCAGCCAAGGCCAGAACTACCCAGCTGAACACAGACTACATTACCAACTCCAAAATTATGAGATAAGTCATTAGTATGTTCAATCACTGCAATTGGAGTACTTCAGAATGTAGCAATAACTTACTAACACACAGGGGAGACAGTCAAGTCAATCTGACAAGAACAGGTCTTTGAGAGATAAAAATGTTCTCATCAACTTAGAATACAGAAAGCAACCATAAAAGCAGAAATATATCTTTTTAAAGATAGTCTTAAAGTTTGAATAATTTAAGATTAAATCATAAAAGTAGGCTGTCTTTTTCCCTATAGAGAAATAAAACCCATACAAATGTTATCCTTCCTTTGAAGATCAATTCAAGAGGCTAAGAGGTGGCCCAGTGGTTAAGAGTGCTTACTGCTCTATCAGAAGATCAGAGTTTGGATCCCAGCACACACATGGGACAGTTTACGAACACCTCTAACTCCAGCTCCAAGGGATCTGATACTTCCTTCCAACCTCAACAGGCACACATACACACATATGTATACACACATACACAGAGACACACAAACACATAAAATAAAAATTTAAAAATCTTATAGAAAAAGAAAGTTTAACTCAAATATCACTTCTTTAGTACTTTTTTTTCTGAGTCTCCTTTGTCCCCATGATTGGTCATTAGATATGTATATAAATGGTAAATTATATTGGAAAAGGCCTATAATTTAATCAGTAAATCTAAGGCCACATTCTGGTTTTATCAGCTGGATCCTTGGGCAAACTTCTTAAATCTCTGAACTTAATTCCTATTTTCTTAACTGGAAATCAACAGTACTCAATCCCACATGACATCTCATCTGCAATCACTCTTCTAAGTGTAGCAATATGCTAAGAATTTGGTATGTACTCAAAAATATTAGTAGTAATTTTTGGATTCATTCATTCATTAAGCTTTGATTGGCTTCCTGATATATATCAGGCTGTATGTTACATGCCGGGAAAAAGAAAACAGAAATGGTAACACCCCCAACTTCCACCCACTAATAACGTACAATCCTTCGATTAGCATAAAGTTAGATTGTGCCTCATGATGCCTCATATTTCCCTAAAGCATGTGGCGTAGCACATCACCTTTAACACACAGCTAAAAGACTCACTTGACAGCTCACATCCATTCCTGCCTCCAACAACACCTGTACAACTGCTTTGTGACCGTTGCGGGCAGCAAGGTGAAGCGGTGTGTGTTTCCGGGTGTTACAGCTCATTAAGTTCGGGTGTGCACTGATGATCATTTTGACCACCCTCAGCCGTCCGTAGAGTGCTGCCAAGTCCAGTGGTGTTTCAAGCTTGCTGTTCCTAATCGTGGGGTCAGTGAGCTCTTCCAGGAGAACAGCAACTACCTCTGAGTGTCCATATTGAGCTGCACAGTGTAGGGCAGTTTCATTCTCATTGTTCTGTTTAAGGCACAGATACAAAGGACATGTTTTCAGAAACTTAATTATCAAAATCTAAACACAATAATTTAAAACTTTACATGTTTGGAAAATGTAAATTTAAGATTAATCTATTGCAGTTAAGTATGACTAATTAGATTTTATATTTGATAAAAGTATCCATCATTCATTACATCAAAATCATGTTTTATCACTTCAATGAAAAGTCAAAGTTTTCACTGCATTATATTTTTCCAATTTCCAAGAATGATAAATGATTTAGCCATGCTAGTCAGTGTCCCTGCTGGGTCCAGATGGCCAGTGTTCCCTGCATCGTTCATCAGGTCTCTGTGACATTTGTTAATGAGGAAGATTAATAACAATTACAGCATACTTTTAATAGACAGGCTTTCCAGAGGAGAAATGAGATAGCAAATTCTTGATAATGAGAGATTGATGAAAAAAAAAAGCTTTGCAAATTGTTTCATTTTATTTTCCACAATCATTGCTTTTATTATAAAGAAGATAATAAGCATAAATCATTGATTCTCTTGTTTGCCAAAAAATAAAAATAAATCCTGTCCCTAAGATAGGATAGCATCTTTTTGAAAACACAATTAAGAAGCAGGCCTGGACCCACACCCAGACAAGTAGCCAAGAATATCACAATACTACATCTGCAGCTTGCAAAATTCCTACTGAAAAACCAGTGACTTTCCCAGAAATTTAGCAAGATTTCTTGGGAGGTCTGAGAGCCCTTGGGAAGGCTGAGCTCTCAAGATAAAATTGCTTGCTTCCTCCTTCTCTACTGTGAGTAAATAAATTCCTTTTGTATAAAAAGAAATAAAAACAAAATAATCTCAGTTGCATGGCAAACTGACCGACCCTTCAGACAATTTTGGCAGTTGACAAGGGTGGATAGGGTCTTTGTATGCTAGGCAATTGGCAAGGTCTGTCAGGAGAACACTGGACAAGAAACGTTAGCAGCAAAAGTGAAATGATCCTACATTCGAGCTCTAGAGAGAAAATGAAGCTGCCATTACTACAGCCATCATCATAGTTAACAGTATCAGACATGGCTACATTTCATGTGTTTATCTACTTATTTCTCCTTATAAAATGGATACTATTATTATTCTTTTCCTCATTTATAGAATGAGAAAACTAAGGCACCAAGTAACTGAATAATGGGCATTTGATTGCACAGCCATTCCATAAGAAGGACAGCGTGAAGTTACAGACTTGCCTTAAATATATTTCCCAAATATGTGGCACAGCAGCATCACCTTTTGGAACACAGCTAAAAGGCTCGCTTGTCAGCTCACACTCATCCCTGCTTCCAGCAGCACCCGCACAACTGTGCCTACTTCAGGCAGCGGGTGAAGCATCATGTAGCTCAGGATTTGAACCATGTAGCCCAGGCTCGAAGACAGACCTCCCATCTATCGCATGCACCTTCACAGCTACAACGGTTACTACTCACACTTGCTGAACATCTACGAAGTTTACAAATATTTTCTTGTTGAGTCTTATAGAAACCCTCCATGTTTGGTATCAATATTTCTACTTTATGGATAAAGAAAGTAAAATTCAAAAAGGCTACAGTACATCTAGGAAGAATAGGGATCTTTGAGTATCTGCCCAAACGCCGTGCTCTTGCGCTGTTGCACTCTGCCTGTCATCTGTTGCTATGCTGCCGAAGAAGCTCTGAAAGTGAGTAACTGAAAATTTTCCAGAGATTTCACCGCAAGAGTACTTAGCAGGAAACAACTTGGATAGTAGTTCCTAACCAAACAAAAGGACAAGGACAGGAGACACTGTCTCAAAAAGAAAAAAAAAAAAAAAAAAAAAAAATAGCATGTGGGAAAACGCACTAAGGTAGGCTTCTTAATCTTATATTTTGTATGCCTAGGATCATAAGGGGACAACTGAAGGTAAAAATAAAAATCCAGGGTCTGGAGAGATGGCTAAGCTGTAAAAGCTCTTGTAGAGGACCCAGGTTCAATTCCCAGCACCCACATAGCAGCTAAAAACTGTCTGTTAATTCCAGTTCTAGGGGAATCCAACACCCTCTTCTGACCTCCGTGGGCACTGCACTCAGACAATACACTCATACATATAAAATAAAAAGTAAAATAATAAAATTAAAACCCAGTAGGAAAAACCCACTCCTTAGCAAGAGCTGAAGAAAGCTGGCATCTGACAGATGGTAATGCAATGAAGCTGTTTCTTCCATTGCTTTTAGGAGTCATTCATGTGCTTGGTTTGAATGTGTCGCTATAATCTTCCTCATAGAGGCTTGACAACAACATAGAGTTTTACACATCCTAATTTTTAGTCTGGATGCTCTATAAACTTGATAAGAACCCCAAGCATATTACTTTTTGCATGAAAATATGACACAGAACTATGCTTCCTGACCAACCTAATTTCCCCTTGGTCTAGAAAAGATTGAATCTCATTTTTCAAACTGTAGCACATCTCTGAGAAAAGAGAAAGGCCAATTATGAAGTAATGACTCCTCAAAGATCTCTCTACTTTTACACAGCCCTTAGCCTAGAAAATAGGAGCAAAATTGTAAATTCTAATAATACCAATTAGCACTGTTCAAATCTCAAGAGAAATTATCTCCATCATTAAAGACCTATTTAAGAAATAATGTTCAGAGGTTTTTAACCACAATCAACATATACTTGGACTTTTATATCAATGGAGATGACAACTGATATCTTTACTAAGGCAGGACTGTAAAGTTGTGTCCGAACTCTTTAGCCATCTAAAAAACTCTAACTGAAAATGGATAGGTTATGATGACGCACTGATTAGTAACTGCTAGTATGTCTGCACAGAACATTCTTTTTTCAATTTTTATTTATTTAGTGTTGTATGAGTGTTAACCCTGCAGGTATGTAAGTGCATCTGTGTCATGCAGAGCCCACAGAGGTCAAAAGAGGGTGTTGGGTTCCCCTGGAACTAGAGTTATGGACAGTTGTTAGCTGCATGTATGCTAGGAATCAAACCCAGGTCTTCTGCAAGTGGAGCCAGTGCTCTTAACTGCTGAGCCATCTCTCTAGTCCCCAAACAGGACATTCTTTAAAGGGTCTGAATTCTTCCCTTTTTACCAAATAAGTGTTCTTTGAAAAATTAATACATTTACTGGGCTGGAGAGATGGCTCAGTAGTTAAAAGCACTGACTACTCTTGTAGAGGACCCAGGTTTGATTCCCAGCATCCACATGGTACCTAACAACGGTCCTAACTCCAGTTCCAGGGGATCTGGCGCCCTCTTCTGACCTCTGCAGGTATTGCATGACATGGATGCACTTAAACACATGTGGGCAATACACTCATACACATAAAATAAAAATAATAAAAATTTTTAAAAGATACTTACAGACAATGAATAGAAGAAGGAAAATGATTGATAAGACCCATTTACCAAGACATCTTGGTTCAAAGTGAAATATCCAACACAAATAAGTTCAAGTTTTTGTCAATAGCAAAGGCAATGTACTTTTGAGATTAGGATACTCTTGACTTTTGCCCCAGGAGAAGCCTACTTTGGTTTCCAAAATTATTCACTAAGTTAACTACTCTATCTAGGGCAGAATAAGATAATAAATAGGATCTAGCCACAATTTCAGTTACTTTTGCTCTGCAAAGATCCAAAATACTAAATGGAAATTTCCAGAAATAACTCTTTCAAGTTTTAAATCACACGCTGATCTGAGTGGCAAAATGAAATCTTGAGTCCTCCTACCCATACATGAATCATTCCTTTGGTCCAGTGAATCTACACTGTATCTATTACCTGGACTCACTTACTGGCCATCTCTGTTAGCAGATCTATGTGCTACTGTGGAGTTTGCATTCCAGTAACCCTTAATTTTACTTAATAGTGACCCAAAGCCCCAAAGCAATGATACATGTGAAGGCCATGGCATACACCACGGATGGATAAATAAAGTCTGGTGCTCTGTGGAAACTGCAGAAGTATGGTAGATGCATTAAAGAAGAGCACAACGAGAAGCCACCTGATAAATAACATTAGTATATAACATATATATACATATATAATGTATAACGTATATAAACATTAGTTCTTTTCCCATGTAAAAACAAAATTATGGGGACGGGAGAGATGGCTCAGCAGTTAAGAGTACTAGCTGCTCTTGCAGAGGACCCAGGTTTGATTCCCAGCACCCACATGGTAGCTAACAACCGTCCATGACTCCAGTTCCAAGGGAATCCAATGCCCTCCTCCAACCTCTGCAGGCACTGCACAACATGGGTGTACTTACATACCTTCAGGCAATGCACTCATGCACACAAAATGTTTTTAATTAAATAAAATTTTATAAACTATTTTGTGGTGAAAATGCCTATAGAAAATCACATTTCAAAAAGAGAATCTGAAGTGATAGATGGACTTGTTACTACTGAGGTTTTAAACATCCACTGGGGTAATAGAAGACTGCATCCTCTCTGGATAAGGGGTAACAAACCACATAAGAAACCCAAGATGCTTTTCAGAAATCATAATGAAACACTAACTATAGTGCATAATTTCAATAGTACAGCATAGTATATTACTGGTTAGGACCTAGGCTTGAGATCTAAGAAACTTGTGTTTAAATGTTGATTTCATTTCTAGGTTCATTGGGAAAGTTACTTCATCGCTCTAAGGTCATGATAATGCCTACCTCATCTGACTGCAACAGGGCTTGGTAAGATAATGTGGACATACTTGCACAATGTTTTGCAAATAATAAACACTCTCTAAGTGATAAGATTTAGGATGCAACCTCAATGTGTAAGACCTGGAGTCAGAGTTCAAGTCTCTGTTTAGGTCACCCAGGAATGTGAGACTTCAAGTTACTCAGCTTTACTTAGTCTGATTTTTCATCTATAAAATGGGAATGATATCACTTCAGAGGATTATTGTAAGAACTAAGTAATGTTTTATAGGTGTAGTACTTAGTACAATCATTGGTTTATCTTATTCTTCAATAAATATTGATTTCTATTTCTTCCCTCTATTGTTTAGATACATAAAGGTTTCTAATTAGCTAGAACATCCCTGTACCTTCAGAAAAAAAGAAAAGAAGTAAAGCTAACATCAAGAGTTATTTATAGGAATAAAATTACCAGAACTGAAATTCTCAGGAGAAATGGCATGGAGTTGGGGAACTAATTTAGAATATGGTATTAAAAGTCTCAAGGAGGGGCTAAGAAAATAGCTCAGTTGTAAAGTGCTTGTGTGTAGGCATGGGGATCTAAGCTTAACCCTCACAACACATATCAAAAAAACAGACAGGCATGGTGCTCCATACTTGTAATCCTAGTGGTGAGGAAGCAGAGAGAGGAGGATCCCTGGGGCTTGGTAGCTAGCCAGTCTAGCCTAACAAACAAGCCCAGGTCCCAAAGATCCTACCTCAATAAAGCAACATGGGCAGCACCTGAGAACAACACCTGAGGTTGACCTCAGCCTCCACGTGTGCACCTACATGCACACATCCAAACACATACCGGTCAACACATACAGATGCACACACACACATACACACACGCATGCACGCATTCACGTAGGGACGCACAATTCTCAAGAAGTACTCAGCTTGTTGCCAACAGAAACCACAGCACAAACGAATAGAAGTGCAAAAAATAATTTTGAACTCAATTGTACTTAAAAGGAAATTTTTAGTAATTTAATCAATCTTCTCAGTACTATTTACTATTTACTATTACTATTCAGTAATATTTATCTTTTAAATATAAATGAACACTCTATGTTTCTTATTTCTGTGACATTTAAAAACATTTTGCTTATAAAAATTAACATCCTTCCATTTAACCTTGGTTTGTTTCTGTTTTACTCGTCAGGTTGGCTTCGCACCAGACAGACAGTTTCAAGAATATCCACCAGATGGCTCATTCCATAAATGATCTAAGTTTTGCTTTTCTCAAGAACAGAGAAGCATTCTCACAAATTTTCTTTTAGTATGATATGATGATAAAGATAGTTATATCTGTTATTTTTAAAAAGATTGAGTACATTCTAATTTTAAAATTATGCATTTTGTAACATTATCAATGCAAAATTTTATGATAAAATTTAATAAGAGACTTTCCCAATGAATAAAATGCTCTTTTTTGCTGATTAGTCCTTTCAACATTTCATCGAGAAAATTTTTTTCTTTTCCTTTGTTGTTTAGAGTCAGTGTTACTTTTTATTCTTTAGTGTGAATTTCAGCCAAAGGTCTGCTAAGTCTATGTCTATTTGAACAATATGCTAATTGCCCTTTAATTAGATGTGCTTGCCCTAGGGTAGCCTGCTTGCATCGGTATTGGATGACTGCCAATCTGCAGCCTAACATCATAGCTGTAATTCAATTGCTGGACTGCATGCTGGTTTTCAAATATAGTTTTACAAAATGGGAACAGTAGGGGGCATGCAGAGCTCAAGATGTTTGTTATCATACTGAATTAAGAGGCCATATTTTACTTTCTCAAATCTGCACTTATCTGTTTTAATACTCAGAATGGAATTCCTTTTTCATACATTCACTATTTTTAACATAGATGTTATGCTCTTGCAAATACATTGACAATGTGTCTCTATCAGAATGCTCTTTGGTGCTGAACTTACTGAGGATGGGTGTGCGTGCGTGAGTGCGTGCATATGTGTTTTTGTGTGTGTGTATTTAACTTACTATGAGACTAAAAACTATATACACTGTATTTTGCATATTGATTCCCAAAAAGTGTAGTCAACCATGAAAGTGCTATGCAAATGATAGCTACGATCATTGTTTTAGCATTTACAATTTTATTAAGGAACTCTCTAATTCTCATTTAAAATGTGAATACTGTTCTGTCTTTAAATATTCAACAGCTATATAAAACATGGATTATATAAAGCAGGCAAAAATATTACAACTACTTCCCTTATGTAGGATTTTCTTGTTAACAAAGTATCTTCACAATTACCTCACTCAGTGCCTGTACATCATACCAAATGCCAAAGATTTTTTTCAAATTTCTCCTTTAAAACATTTTATTATTTTTATTTTATGTGTACGAGTGTATTGCCTGCATGTGTGTGAGTGCACCCATGTCGTGCAATGCTGTGGAGGTCGGAAGAGGGCTTTGGAATCCCCCGGAACTGGAGTTAAGGACAGTTCATAGCTGCCATGTGGGTTCTGGGAATCAAACCCAGGTCCTCTGCAAGAGCAGTCAGTGCTCTTAACCACTGAGCCAACTCTCCAGCCCCTCAAATTTCTCCTTTAGAAAATTCAGCAGTGGAAGATTTTGGCAGGGTAAAGATAAAAGTCATCAATTTTTCAACGTGGCTTTGCCTTTGAAAACTCTAGAGTAGTTTATGGCATGAACAAACATTTGACAAGTGCACCTGTTCATTGACTCTGGAATGTGAAGGTCCATGATGAATAAGAATCTTCACGATCTCCACATCTCCTTTCCAGGCAGCCAGATGAATAGGAAAATAACCTTTGTTGTCTGCCACATTTGTTGATGCCTCATATTGAAGTAGTTTGAGAACTATATCCCTAAGAAAAAAGAAAATAAAAAAATAAAAGAAAACAACAGAAAAGAAAATATGCTGAACAACACGGATTTTATTTACTAACGATGAAAGTCTACTGCAAACTAGCTGGCATTTAAAGCAATCATTCAAGGCACTAAAACGTTAAGTTAGGTTTTAGAGTTCGCATAGTTGGCATACTATTTTACTTACCTAGGAAACACTCATAACTCCCCAACACACATATACAAACACAGATAGGCACACACAAAGCATTAACCAATGAAATTACTTAACAGAGTACAATGTAGATCTTATTTCATTAACTGAATTAGCTAATTAAATTAAATCAAAACTTAAGTAAGCATCTCCCACTTGTTTAATGGTCTGTCTTTCCAGATAATCCAGATTTAAGAGTTAGCATGAAGGAAAAGCTGAAGTCACAAGCAAACTTCCTGTTTCCAAGAAAAAATATTATCATAGTATCAAGTTAAATTTGTAGCATTTCAACAATGAACTAGAATAAATGAGTTAAGACATAAAGAAAAAAATTTTAATTTTTAATTTAAATTTTATTGAATTTTTGTATATTTCATACAGAACAACTCAATCGATCTTAATCATCTTTAGGCCCCCTTCCCCATTGGCACTCCCCCATAGCCCCCTCACTGGAATTCATACATTCTGTCATTTGTGTTAAGGCCTATTATGTCAAGTTAGTGTCCCCAGACATTCCTCCGTGAAAGTTCATCTACTGAGGTCTAGTCAGCCTATCTAGAGTCCCTCAGAAAAATTTAGATAAGTAGACCAAGGAGCTAACAACTTAAGTGTAATACTAGGTCAGGATTTTAAAAATGAGAAAATCTGGGCCAGGTGTGGAGGTGTATGCCTTTAATACGAGCAGAGGCAGAGATAGGTGCATCTCCATGAGATTGAGGTCAGGCTGGTCTACATAGCAAGTTCCAGGCCCACTGGGGCTACAGGGAAACCTGTCTGTAAAACAAGAGCTCAAGGGCTGGAGAGATGGCTCAGTGGTTAAGAGCACTGGCTGCTCTTGCTGAGGACCCAGGTGGTTCCCAGAACGACATGGAATCTAACAACCATCCATATCTCCAGTTCCAGGGGATCTGACACCCTCTTCTGACCTCCATAGGCACTGCACAACACAAGTGCACTTACATGCACGCAGGCAATACACTCACACACATAAAATAAAAATAATAAAATATTTTTGAAATAACAAGAGCTTAACCATTTTCTGACCACAGAACATAACACAATTTGAATATGTGACTCATTTCTGTATTCCTCCACCTTCTTCAAACCCAATAAATTATCTGAAGAGAGAAATTCACTTAAGAGATAAATTCCACCATGGGTGCAGTTTCAGCATAGCTCAAATCCTGCTATAGTCTTCTATACTTAAAACCCATTGGATTTCCAAAGTAAAAAATCTTGAATTAAAATAAGCTCATGAAGAATTAATAATTGTTAGTGCACATTATACTGAACTTTATATAAAACAGTACAAAAACGTAATTCTAAACAAAAGCTGTATTTTCATTTGAATTTATTTAGACACAAATTCTGATAATTCATTAAGTGACACCCCAAACAGATACATATATAAATATAGGCAGAAATACATATGTGAATGTACAATCATATACTAAAGTTGCTTCTTGGGTTAAAAAGTCACCAATAGAGAAAATGAACAAAACGGAAAGACCTAAATTTAAATATTTTATAAAAATCAAGCTACAAGTAATAAATGAGAAAAATTAGAGAGATTAGAATAGATGCGAAGTTAGAATTCTAACAGCTCACAAGGAACACAAATATAACAAAAATACCAGTAAATAGAAAACTTACACTACCCCAAATGTAGTCTAATCGTTAGATTCAGTTTCAACACACATAAAATTATGGTGAAAGAATAGAAGTTATATAAACAGTTGTAGAGTTAATAGTTCATCTATATTAAGAAATAATGGTCTATGATTTCTTTCCTTTGAGATCTTTATGTGGGTTTGGAAATAGTTTTTTCGATCTCACAGAAGAAGATATATTTTTGTGTGTGTGTGTGTGTGTGTGTGTGTGAGGCCATGTGTGTGTGTGGGTACCCTCAGAGGCCAAAAGAAAACACCAGATCCCTGGAGCTAGAGTTCTGATCTCCCAATGTGGGTTCTGGGAACTGGTGTCAGGTCTCCTGAAAGAGCAGCAAGTGCTCTTAACCACTGAACCGTCTCTGTAGACCCACAGATTATAGCTTAACATGTCTTTTTAAAAATATTATTTAACAAGTTCTAAATTCTGAAGACTTAGATGATCTGTGACTCAGTTACACAAACTACCTAATGCTGTGACACTGGCAAATTTTAGTATCTTTTTTTTTTTTTTTTTTTTTGTCTTTTTGAGACAGGGTCTCCCTGTAGCCCCAGCTGTCCTGGAACTCAATATGTAGACCAGGCTGGCCTCAAACTCACAAAGATCCACCTGCCTCTGCTTCCCAAGTGCTGGGATTGAAGGCATGCACCACCACGCCCAGCCTCTTTTTCCTTTTTGTAGAAGATACTAGAATAATAACAACATCTACTACTGAAGTATAGTAACAGCACTGAGATCACACAAGGAAGTCCCTTGATAACTAGCAAACACTGTCTAAACATTAGCTCTCATCCCTAATAAGAACAAAGTCCTTTTGGAGTGAAAGTGCTTACAAAAAAAAAAAATCACATTTCATAAAGAGAATCTGAAAACCAAAAGGAAATTTGAAGTTTATCCAGTTGACACTGAGTTGTTCTAGGGTCCAGGTCTGGAGAGATGGCTCAGCAGCTAAGAGCACTGGCTGCTCTTGCAGAGAACCCAGGTTTGGTTCCCAGCACCCACACGGCATCTAACAACTATCCATATCTCCAGTTCCAGGGGATTCAACACCCTCTTCTGACCTCTGTGGGCACTGTAAAACATGGGCGTGCTTACATACATACAGGCAATATACTCATACATATAAGATTAAAATAATAAATAAAATATTTTTAAAGCACTGTTCTAGGGTCTTCCAGTCTTCCAAGATAAGAAAATAATTACAGTAAAGTAAGGAGGATTCAAACAAGAGTTATGAATAAGAAAAGCCTGCTAAGAACCAGAATCTGGTTTAAAGTCCCAAGTCTCTACTACTTGCTAACTTGGTTACCTTGAGTAAATCAAATGCCCTCAATCTCTCTTTCACTGTTAATATAGAATTTAGACATTACATTCTATTACCAGTCTCAAAGGCTTATGATGGAAAACAAATGAGAAAGATACAATTGTAGATTATATGGAAACGCTATTCTCAAGGCAGGCTGTTATAACATTGAACAATTTCAGTGGGTTTTTAAAAAGAAATCTTTTAGCATTTGAAAGGTAAAATAAAACCAAAAGAAGCTGATCAAACTAAATGCCTAGAATAAAAAGGAGAATCTGTCCTAAAATAAATCTCTTTCTCCAAAGTAATGTTAAAAACAATTGGGGAAAAGATTTTAATTTCATTTCTTAAGCCCTACTCAAATAAAAATTCTAAAAACTCCTCATAAAATGGTTTTTTGATGTTATCGTTGTCATTCGTAGGGTTTGGATATAATTTGAGTGTGCACCCAATGACTCAGATGCTAACTTTTTTCAGTAGTGGAAGGAACTTTTAGACTTACTATGTAGCTCCAGCTGGCCTCCAATTATTTATGCAGACCATCCCAGGCTGGCCTCAATTTCACTGCCATCTGCCTGCCTCTGCCTCCTGAGTGACGGGATTACAGGAATGAACCACCATGCCTAGCCCATATGCTAAAATTGAATCCCCATTATGAGCATTTAGACAGTAGAAGCCTAATCCAACTGTGGTGATTAGAAATAGGACTTAGAGTAGGTGGAGAGGAGTAAATAAGGTCATCACAGTAGAACCTCCCTTTGAATGCCACTGGAATCGCAGTATAGAGGGGGTGGGGTGGGCAGGTCAGCCCAATTCTATTCGAGCAACTACTGGCAAGTAAAAGCTGCTGGAGGGAGAGGCTCCATTTTCTCTCGGAGTGTGACACCTGGGGGTTGACCAAGAGATGGATTCACACCCAAAGCATTTGAGCAACACAGATTAAACTCTATAGACCTTTAAAAAAATTATAGAGGGCCCTCAACTCCCTCTGCTTCCCTGGACCTGCACGACCTGAAGGCCACTCTCAGACCCGCAGGCTTCTCACTCCAGGGTATGTCCATCATGCCCTCCACGCCTTGACTCCCCCAGCCTCAGTCACCCTCCCATCTCCCCCACCAGTCTCTCCTCCTAGCCGGGGTCCTGTCTCATTCCTTGTCTTGGGGCCCCAGGCACCTGGGGAACCACTACTGATTCCTGGTCCTCTTCATCCAGACCAAGTCAGTGCCTTCTCAGGTGCCAGGAGCACTGCTTAAGGGCCTGGTCCCACCCTCACCTCCCTCTGCTTTCCTGGGCCTGCACCACCCTCCAGCCTCTTTCCAGGATTCAGGGGCTGACCTTTCCTGATCCTTTGCATCCAGACCAACCCAGCTCCTCAGTGTAGTCCCCAGGAGCCCATGGGGCCGCTACCCACCCCCATCTGCCTTTCCATCTCTGGATGGCACAGCCACCAGCTGCCCTAGACCAGCATCTTTCCTGGGGCCTGCTCTAGGCCAGTCCAACCTCCAAATTACTTAGGACAACATCTTTCCTGGAGGGATCCAGACCTTAGGAGAAAACCTGAGAGCATCTGATCCTCATCTGACTTGGGCCTCTGTGGGAATTCCTGAAGCAAAAGCAATCTGGCCATTCCAATATAAAATCAAAAGAGAGAGCTGGAAGCTTAGAACAACCAGCTTTTCTTCCTAAAAAGTAAACCACAAAGACACATAAAGTTCACAAAAAGAAGCAGACCTAAACTTGAAGACTTGAGTCTCACACAAGAATCAGAACCTACAAAAGAAATTCACATGTCATAATCACAGAGAAAAATAATAACATGAAAAACCAAAATAACA